TTTAATAAATGGAGGAGAGTAAGAAATTTTACCAGCCCTATGAGTGCAGTCAGCATTTCAGTTAAAGTGTTTCCATTAGAGGATTCTGTGCCAGTATGAAAGCAGCTTTGGACATGAGCAATGTTGAAGAGCTGAGCAGATTTATTTCCAGATCAGGTATTATGCATGTAGTTGAAACTGCTGTAAAGCTAGGACTTGTTTCTTTTTCAGATGCTGTGACTCTGCTTCCTCATGGAGGGAATTTTTATCTCACTGCTCCTCCTGACTCTTAGGCTTCAGGTTCTATAAGGATAATACTAGTTTGATGCCTTTGCAGCTTCTCCTCAGCTTATTTATTTATTTTTATTTATTAAATCTATATGGCCACCCTTCTCATATACATGATTCTAGGTGTCTGACAGTCAAAACAGGATAAAAACAAAATAAAAACTCAACCAATAATTATAAACATAAATAACATAAAAAGTTGCTCAGTTGAAATGTCCAAGTATGAAACTGATGAGCATTTTTGCAGTTTCTCTCTCCTCTTCAGCAAGACCTTCCAGCCTGCAAACTAACTTGGCTATTTTTAAAAAACTGGATTGTAGAGTCGGGTGAGGCATTTAAGCTATTCTCCCACCCCTTGTTCAATGCAGGGATCCAAATGAAAGCTTCCCTGACAGATGGTTCTCTAACCTCTGCTTGAACACATCCAGTTAAGGGTTCATCCACCTTTCTCTGTAACTGATTTACTGTTCAATTACTATTAGAATATTTTCTTTCAATCAGACATTTAATCAGTATCTGCCTTTCTATAACTTAAAGCCATTGTTCTGTGTCAAGTATATGGGAATGGCAGAGAAGAGGTGATGGCCTTCTTTTGTATGACTTTCTTTCAGGTATTTGCAGAATTCAATCATATCTATCCTTAACTATCTCTTCTCAAGGTGAAACATTCCAAATATGTTCCCTCTGTCTTCATAAACTTAATTTCTAATGTCTTCATTTCATTTGTCTTTGAACCTGTTTCATTTTCTCTGAGTTCTTCTCAGATCATGTTGCCCAGACCCAGATGTGCTAGTTAAGTCTTCCCCTTTTTATACGGAAAGGGAGTGAGGGAATTTTTCTTGCTGCAAGATCTTCAGAAGCTTAAGAAACAACAGTGACTTTTGTTTCTTTTTCTCAGCATAGTCCAAAAATCTCAGTGTAAAACCACAATGCCACATCAGATATTTTTAGAAACTTAACCAGTTACAGACTTGATACATGAGTTTTACTTTTAGGTTTTGCATTTTTAATGTTAATATGCTACAAAAATTAAAATTACTTTCCTGGATGTTAAATTTCTGCTGTGAGGGGTTCTCTGTATGGAAAATTAATTTTCACAGATGGAACTATAGAGTCTTTGGCTCTATAACATTAAAAGCTCCAAGTACAACAGATCAACTCTTTGTTGTTGTATTGATTGTATCGCAACATCAAAAAGCAGCAGGGAAAAAGCCAAGCTGATTATACAAATAGCACAATAATGCTTAATCTAGATTACTTTCAAGTAATAATATTGGCATTAATAACTATTTTTGTAGATGAACATTTTTTCCTTCTCCATTAAAAAAGTTGAACAGTGGGTCTGTAGTTGAAGATTGGTTGCTGAACGAGATAAAAGAAGTATATGAAGGAAGTAGTGCATGTATGAGAATAAATGAATGTTTAGTGAATGGTTCAAAGTTGAGCAGGGAGTAAGAAATGATATATGATGTCCCCTTGGTTGTTTAATGTGTTTATAGGTAAATGTATAAAGAATGCTTGTGGTAATGATAGAAGTGTTGGTTGAAGATGTGAACATATGTGTAGTTTTGTATGCAGATGATATGCTGTTGGCTGAGAACTCAAATGATTTGCATTGAATGTTAGATTAGATGATGCACTGAGGAACGTGTTTCTTAAAATTAAATTATCAAAGACTATGGTAGTTGCATTTGATAGGAAAAATGCAATGAGTAATTGCAGGTTGTACTTAAAAGGTAAAAAATTTAGAGCAACTAAATTAATCTGTGTATCTTGGGAGGATGTTTACTAAATGGGAAAATAAATGGAGAAATTTTAATAAGTACAAATGCTGATGTAAAGGTAGTGGGTAGCATGTAGTCTGTGCTAAAAGAAACAAACATTTCTCTGCTTAAGAGTGCTTCTGCCCATTTGTTATATGGAAATGAACATTGGTTATAAGGAGAAGTATAAAAATTACATGGCTACTGTGAATATGGATTGAATGCAAAAGTGACTAACCATATGAAATATGTCAAAATGGTTTGATAATATAAGGCAGAACTAAAGAGGATAGAATTGGAAAACAAATTATAAAAGCAGAGTGAATTGTTGAAGAAGAAGATTTTTTTAAAAAAATCATGGCTGGAAACATTGATGAGATCTCAAAAAGGGAGTTGTGAGAAGTTTAAAGGATAAAATCTATATATAGATGTGTTAGAAACAAGAACAGTTTCCAGGGATAGAAAGGTATGGACATGTATAGTGAATAGTGTTGACATAAAGTATATTTGTTTGCTTGTTTGTTTACCACTGCTTGTATGCAACCCAAAAAAGCCTGGGGCAGCTAACAGTGTAAGCCAAAAACAAAACAACACTCCAAAACCTTAAGTACATCTTTTAAAAATGACAATTGTTTTTTAAAAAAAATTAAAAAACTGGAAAATACAAATATCACACCCCACAAAACCCTCGTCCTGTGCCAGGTGGAAAAGATATGTGTTCAACAATTTCCTGAAGCCCAAGAGGGACAAAATTGGCCAGATCTCTGCTTGGATAAGTTATTAAATTTACAGGCCACATGACTCCATCACAACTCTTGATAACATAATACAAAATATGAAAATATAATATAAACAGAATTGTTATAAATTGGTGGACTGACAAATACCATGTCCTAGGTTAACTACACACATTTACAGTAACTAGCATTACTTAATTAGGGATTTCCAGTTGCTGGCAGTACTTACTCCCAAATGAATCTGGCCTTTCAAGAAGCTTGAATACAATGGTGAGATGTATTGTATTTCCATTTAAATTGAAGCCAGTATTTCAAGTTTGCATATGTACATATAGATTAGCAAATGTGACATTATGCAAATCTGCATTCTATTTTGTCCTCTCTTTAGTGCTCTCTCTCTCTCTCTCTCTCCCTCCTCCCCCCCTCCCCCTGGAAATACTTAAGAGGCTTAGAAAGCAGAATTAAGATGCAAAGCCTGTTTGTAATTCTATATTATTCTTTGGTAACAGAATTCAGTCAGAGTGTTCCCCTGCTTTAAAAACTTAACCAATCCAATTGCTTTCTTGAGAACTAAATAAAATGAAGGCTATGCAATTCCAAATATTCTTTGCATAAAGGTACGCTATAAGGTAGAAATCTTGTGAAAGTATTAATTAAAATGGGGAACTAGCTCACGGGAAATGGTTTTAAAATCCCAGTTTCTTCTTGCCTCTTAATCTCTCTTACCTTAAACTTAACACAGAGACACACACTACACACAGAGAGACACCCAAATATCAGGATTCTAACTGGGGCATTTATATGACACACAGAACAGGAACTAAATCATGGTAAATCTAGCATTTGCTTGAAAAAATAGCTATCAAATTCTCATTCCAGCAAATGAGCGGAAGTGCTCTCACAGGTTCCTTTTCCCTGCAAAAACAACAAACTCACCCATATGGCTTTACCCATGGTTTGTTTATGAACCAGGGACTCAGGAGATGGAGGAGGGAGAGGGGGAGACGGAGAGAGAGAGATCTTTAATACACAGTCATTCAGACATATTCTTTTTTGACTTGACTGTATGGTGTTTTTTCCCCTTTTATTTACTGCCTCTAATAGGTTTGTGTTCCTTTCCCCATTCCATCTCTTTCCACAGAAATGAAAGTTGTAGAACTGTATCCCCTTGATGCCTAGGACAGGAACATCCAGCAGAGAGAGCTTGGCGACTCACATTTTCCCTATCAATTAAAATGCAAATCAAAAGACAAAACCAAGTAAAATGAAATTCAATCTCTTCCTCTCCAGCTTGATAGGCTTGGTGCTGAGACACTCACGTCCATCTGGTGTCCGAGCCTCCATATGTACAAGGTCAGGCTCCTTGTCCAAATCTGTGACAGACCTGAGAGAAAAGAAGGAGCAGAAAAGAAACAAATCAATCTGTGCAGCAGGATGCCATAATGGCAGGCAAAGGTGAATCTGGATTGAGAAATGAAGAGGTGGAGAAAAACCACTGGCTTCTCATTTTAAACAAGCCAACCTAAAACTGGGATGGATTCAGTGCATGAAAAGGAAAGCAACAAACTTGGATCTAATAGCAGTTTAGTTTAAAAAGCACATAGAATTAGCAGACAAGAAGATTTAATTTCATTTAATTTGCTTATAAGAACCTCCATGTAGAGCTTACATCCAAAGGTCCCATCTCTGAAAATGTTTGCTAGTAAACCAGGGAAAAAACTAATTGTTGGGTGTAACATCTAGAGCTGAACTACCCTGCTCACCTGCTGGAATAAGTATTGTAAATAATACCTGGAAAGGCTTTTTGTCTGCTTCAGTTATGTTCCAGGGTGACACAAAGCACCTTAATAAACTGGCCTTCACATTTCCTACAATGAAAGTACTTCTCAATGTAAACTTATCTGTCATGGTATTATTGTATCAGACTTTTGGGGTAAACCAAGAAGAAGATATAGCAAGGATTCAAAAAATGCTACTTTATTGTGTAGGATATAATAACAAAATTTTGAAAGCTTGTTCAAACTTGTCTCTGTCCATCTTATACAAAACAAAATCACGGCTGGAATATTTTGATTTTCTTTCTCTTGCTTGCTTCAGTCCCTGGATTGTGTAATCTGTTGTCCAAGCCCCTCCTTAGCAGTTTTTTTGTGCCTTCTCCAAGGTCAGCTTTAAATTCCTTTATATCTTAATATCCATTTTTATTTATTTACTTCATTAATTAGATTTTGTCCCATTTTTCCTCCAAGAGGTCAAGATGACATACATAATATATATTGCACAACCACAAACCTAAGAAGTAGATTGGACTAAGAGATAGTGACTTGCTCAAGGTAATCCACCAAGTTACCATGGCTAGTAATGCATTTGAACCTGTGGCTCCTTGATCATTCTAAATGCTACTTGCACTGTCTCATATGAGCATTGGTTAAAGCTGTATAGCCTGTTCCCCAACACAAACTGAGAATGCTCATTAAAACATAGCCAGAAGTCCCCTGAATATGCACCCAGCAGGGGAAAAACAATCCCAATGAAAAAGCTATGTCTTTGGAAACTTTAACCACCATTTCTGATTCATTCATTGAGCAACACCCAGCATATACATGTGTAACAGAGTATGTGCAGAAGGGTAGACATCTGCCTGGGCATCATTCCTTTTAAACAAATATTTGATTATTTAGATAACATGCCTAAATAATACAAATGGGCATACTGGCTCTCATCAGTCAGTTTGGAGGAAAGAACAAAGCTTCCTTGTCCATATGTGGTTTTTTCCCTCCATATATGGATAAAATGATAACTCTAGCAAACTCAAAATATTTCAGCTTATATATCATTGTTATCTCGCTTACAATGTCATACAATGTTACAAGTGTCATACCAAACTATTTCTTTACTGAATATAGATTATAAACTTTTTGCAGCAATACTTGCAAAAAAAAAAAAGAATAAAAGCTTAACTACATTATACATCCTAATTGGACTGGATTTGTTTCAAAAAGATTCTTTCATACTTGTAATTTAAAAAAAAAAAAAAGTAATTTTTTTCTAATTTTTTACTGGGATACATACTATTTTTAAAGAAAAAAAAAAGCCAAGAGAAAAGTATTATTATTTTTTTAATCGTAACAATGCACTATACTGAAGGGGATGAACAAGATTGCTCTCACTCTTTTTTTTTATTTATTTTATTTTATTTTATTTTATTTTGGGGTATTTAAACAATTAGGAAAGAAAATACATCACAAAAATAACATTTCAGGAGTTAAATTACCAATTCAATAACATACATTGAAATTATGCATTGACAATAATGTACTTACAAATACTCATCAAAAGATTCCTTAGTAATGTTAATGGAATGTATATAGCAATATGATCTTTGGTCAAATTATCAGATTAATAAAGAAAAACCCTAGATGTTGAGACAGAATTTGGCATAAGAAGAAAAGCAATAGCTGTACTGAGGACTGGGGTTAACATTACATTAAAAAAAAAAAAAAAGTAGGAATTTACATGACAAAAAAATAATAGGGATTAATTTAAAAACAACTATTCACTGAGCTGGAAAAGTATAACACAAGATATCTTGCTAGGTAGAATTGCAGCCATTAAAATGAATATTTTACTAAATATTTTATCAAAACTTAATTTTCCTTTTTCAAATGATTACAATGCATATTGAAAAAAAGGCATTGAGTGATTGGCATAAACAGGTCATGGTCCAATAAAATGGTTCGCAAAATTTTGCTTCCGTTCACGAACTCCACATCAGGTGACGAACAGGATCCGCGGCCATTTTCTCTGCCGTGACACGTGGTCGTGGCTTCCCTTGAGGGGGGGGGACTCCCCCTCCAAACAATAACCGCCTCCCCACCCGCCTTCCTGTCCTCCACGCCTCAAGCAAGGTTAGCGTTCTCTCTCTTCATAG